ACTCGGCTACCCCCAGACACCGGTGTCTAGTCATCATCAACGTCCTCCTGCTGTACCTAGAAACATCTGTCCTCGCTATAAAATAACTTTTGGTTCAAGGATAGGCCTTATCAGCCACTTGAGGGTCCACAACTCCCATGGAACATGATCATAGTGGGTAACGAGTGATCACCATCATTCTTTCCAGGTTTAGATATTACGGTTCCTTTCCTCCCAAAGTCAGTCTCTGTGGTGAAGTCTGTGGTGAGAGAGAATCAAAGGTTTGGAATTTTTAGTCATTAGTTTTATAATTCTATTCATTAGGGTAAATAGTCTTACATCCTACATAGTTTTTTCTCACATTAAGATGCTGCTATCTAAAGAATCTTGTAATTAAAATGCTACTTTTTATTTTAAGGCAGGGAAATTCATTATTTTTATTTTTTCTAATAGACTTTTGCATTGAAAGCTTGAAGAAAATATGAAATTGAATACTTTACCCACTAGGTACCTTATCACTGACTCTGTCAGGATGAGATTCAGTAAGAGATAAGGATGATGATGTAACTTTGAGGTAAATCCTTTTTCTAGGGTACGTCTAGACTACATGCCTCTGTCGCCAGAGGCATGTAGATTAGGCTACCAGGCATGGGAAAATGAAGCGGCGATTTAAATAATCGCCGCTTCATTTAAATGTACATGGCTGCCGCGCTGAGCCGACAAACAGCTGATCAGCTGTTTGTCGGCTCGGCGCTGTAGTCTGGACGCGCGGGTGTCAACATCAAAGGCATTTGTCGACCACCCAGGTATACCTCATCCTAGGAGGCATACCTGGGTGGTCGACAAATGCCTTTGATGTCGACACCCGCGCGTCCAGACTACAGTGCTGAGCCGACAAACAGCTGATCAGCTGTTTGTCGGCTCAGCGCGGCAGCCATGTACATTTAAATGAAGCGGCGATTATTTAAATCGCCGCTTCATTTTCCCATGCCTGGTAGCCTAATCTACATGCCTCTGGCGACAGAGGCATGTAGTCTAGACGTATCCCTAGTGTCCAGCATTCTCCCTTTCAACAACTGATTCCCAATCTAAGGAGGGATGATAATATGACTTGATGTGTGGCTTAGACCTCCTAATCTAATGACTGATAAATAGCACGTTCCTGAAAACTATAAAAAAAAAAAAACCACAGTGACGATAATGAAAAAAATACTGAAATCCAGAAGTATTTAAAATGTGTGTAGAAATATCTGGTAAGGAAAAATTAGTCTGTAAATCTGAATGTTAACTAAAGCAGCCTGATATGTGTGTTCACTCCTGAATAATTGGAGAATAATTTGCAAAAGAACTAGGTACTTGTAATTATAACTTTTAATATTCTGTACATTATGTACAGACATGCATCTGACAAAGTGGGTCTTTGCCAATGAAAGCTTATGCTCCAATACATCTGTTAGTCTATAAGGTGCCACAGGACTCCTTGTCGCTTTTGCAGATCCAGACTAACACGGCTACCCCTCTGATACTGTACATTATGTGTTACATATTTTTTGCTGGAAACAAATAACTTTTTATATGAAGGTAAACAGTTGTTAATAGAATACTAATAGAGATGTAGCCGTGTTAGTCTGGTCTTGCTGAAACAAAAGACAGGACTATGCAGCACTTCAAAACTAACAAGATGGTCTATTAGGTGATGAGCTTTCATGGGCCATCTTGTTAGTCTTTAAAGTGCTGCATAGTCCTGTCTTTTGTTTCAGTTGTTAATAGGACATACTTCCTTACATTAATATTTTTAAAAAGAGGGAGCAAATACAAAAGGAAAGAAAATACAGTGAAGCAATGATATTTGTTTCCATACCCAACACAATAAAATAACTTTTTTGGCCACAGTCACAAATTCTGGACAGCTATCTCTTTTTGTTTAATTTCAGTAAATATTGTCCTACCACTATAATAATAGAAATTTGGGTGCTGCAGACTCTAAAACTTCATATAATTTTTCTTCATATAGCTAAGTTGTTAATCTAATTAGGTAATAAGCCACTCTTTCTCTTAAATTTTTCACATAGTTGGGGGTTGCAAAAAAAGGGATAAATATGTGTTGGTGCATCCAGAAACATTCAAAACAAGTATCTTTTTAACTTCAATACACCAGGTCACACAACAAATGCATTGCCAACTCATTATTATATCTTCAACTCATATTATTATTATTATTATTTATTATTACAAATGAAAACTATGCAAGAAAAAAAGTGTAAAAAAAATACCACAAAGTGTATACAAATTTGTGTAAAGAAAATACCACAAAGTGTATACAAATTCGTGCCCTGTCCATGAGGAAGTAGGATTTAGAGAAAATGTTCAGGTTTTCATATAATGCTATTTAACTTACTTTTAAAACTAACTGCAATGCTCAGATACTCAGATTTTATTTTTATATCTATCTATCTATAGATATAGATCACTATAGTTTGGCTAAAATAATTTTTTAAAACACACACATTCTCCACGTTATCCATAACAAATGTACCCCTCAATCATTTACGTGTTTATACATAAGACACACACACAGAAAATACCAAAAAAGTTTCTCATGTGTGGCCCCAAATTAAGAAATAAAAACGAAAAATCTATTTTTAAATTCTTAACCTGGTAAGAAAAGTTCCTTGAAGAAACAATTTCTTTCTTTCTGAAGTCCTCACAGCAGCAGTATCCGTGATCATAAGGCTGTAGGTTTTTCATTGTAACTTATTTTTTATGTATAATATATACTCCTCACTGCATATGCACCAGCATAAGAGGGCAATCAAAGAAGGTCTGCATTTTGGTTTGCCTTCCAAAATTAGCATGTGAATCTCTACTGGGTCTTGTGTCTAAGATCCCTCACCCCGTGAAACGTAATTCAGAAGGCAAAATAAGGGCAGAAGTTGTTCAATGTTTCTGCAAGTGGGAAGTGATCCAGATGAGAGATCCCATTTCTTTGCCCTGTTCATATTCTGTGTGATAATACTCTGGAGGACTGTTAGGCTGGAGATGTCGCCCCACCATTCTGTAGTCGGGGCAATGTGGGCAAGATCATGGACGTGCAGGCAAGAGACCCATGTATCTCTTTTATATCACCATTAGAACTACTTGCCCTTTGAGCTCTTCTTTCCCTCCTCTCCCAACAGTACTAGGGGATGACTGCTACCTAGAGATAACTTTTCAGTTTTGGCTCCTCTGTCCTGGATACTCAGGAAGAAAGAAAAGACACAAGGGATGTGATTTAACAAGGCCACAACATTATTAAACATAACTTTTCTGGAACTAGTAACTTCTCCAGTACAGGGCATTCTTCTGTCCATAACCTGTTAACATGATGGAAGCATGCCGTCAGCTCCTCATCCTCCTATACCTGCCAGTTCCTAGGACCCCACCACGCTCTCCTCTGAATGTTAAGGGGCTGTTTCCTCACTCTGCCTGACACTAGGAGTGCCAGTCCTATTCCCAGCTTCTTTAGGGATGCCTGCCCCTAAATCCACTTCTGGTAATTTAGGGAACCAGACCCCAATCAATCAATTAGCTGCACTAAACATCTGTGAGACGTGACTACTTGAACTTTATCTCCTAATCTACTCACGGGGTCCCTGTGCAGTTGTGGGAAAAGTGAGTCTACGTGTAGATAAGGTGGCTTATGAGAAAAAAGCTCATTAAGATTTATTAATTGTAAAAATGTTAATCACTTCAGTTTTCTGGTAATTTACTCCATTAAAGCGATGTCTGTGCTGTGAATTTTGCTGATGTGATTCACATCAACCATAAAGCTGCTTCAGTTAATGATATCACCTCTGTGTTATGCTTATAAGAAGCACACAGGATCTTTTTAGGGGAAAAGGCAATGTGCCCTGTTTATTGAGTGGCATATATATTATGTATAGAAAGTAGCACGTGCATGTGTGCACTCTCTCTCTCTCTCTCTCTCTCTCTCTAGCAATGTTATGATTACCCAGCAGAGGCTTGAACTAGTTAGGTTGGATACGAAAAGGGAGTCAGGTTCTGTTGGTCGTGATTCTGATGCTCCGAGGCTATTGGCAGGATGAACCCAAAGTATCGTACAAGACACCTCATTTTTATAAGAATCCCTTCCAGTGCAAGTCTGTGGATTTTGCTACATCATGTTGTAATCAGTCACTTTGCAGCATATGTTCTGGAGATCTTTTTCATTGTTGTCCAACATCAGTCTTGTTGACAACTTTTCTGGATGTTGCTGCACCCTGGCTCCTATGGCATTTCTTACCTTCACACATTGGGAGTACTTGCTTTTAACTTTGGGGTCAGCAGTCTGATCTCATCATGACAGAAGTGTTTATGTCACCTTCCTCTGAGATACTGGCTCCCCCCTTTTTTGGTACATTTGAGCTTAGAACCAGCCTTCAGACTTACTAATTAGTATGCACATTCTTCACTCATACCAAAACACTTTCACTTCAAAGTACAGAGTAAAGTTGCTGACGGATGATCATTGCCTCGATATATCCAATATGATTATATTAGTTAAAACTAGGTAGCCGTGTCCTTTCAAGTTGGGGCACCATTAGTACATCATTGTAATGGTAAATACCATTACAGACTTACCTGATGTTCCTAACCCCTTACCAAGCTTCTCTGTACTCAATTTCTGGAACTGATTGCTCTGCAATGGGATTTCTAAAAAGTGGGGAAATAGCCTTCTTTGCGAAATCAAAACTTTCCATTGGAAAACTCCCATTTCTGCTGGAAAAACTTAAATGAGAGCAGCCTGGCTGGAAGGCTTTTGTCAGTATCATTGTGTACCTGCATCCAGAAAGTGGAACTGAGAGAAACCTTCAAGCAAGCTGCTTAAGTTGAGTGCCCTGACTTCTATCCAGCTAGCAGGGAGGCAGATTTTTGTCAGTTTTACAGGTAGAAAGTGAAATTCACAAGGTTTCCAGCTCTTTCCAAACTGAAATTTTCTGGAAGTCCTTTCCTGTGAAAAATGTCAAGATTGACTTTTTGTCCTGTTATAGGATGAAACATTTTTTGGAAAACTGTTTTCCATTCAGCTGTACAACAGAATTGCGTAGCTATTATACTGTCAATCATGAAGTACTTACTACCTACTTCTGGGAAGTTTGTGGTAGCTGTGAACATTCCTGTGAGGAAGATCTAAGAGGTGATAGCAGTTGCTGCTCTTCACTAAGGATGCTTACCTTTTTGGAATCCTATGTAGTTCAGTCTAGTTCCTCTCAGTTAGCATGTAAAAGAGATTGAGAACCTATCAGGCTGAGCAGGACTCTGACTTACCAACTGAAAGGAAAAGGTATAACAATCTAGTACTACAGCGGGTGATTCCCTTAAAACAGACTGCCCTTAGAAAGGAGAGGAGTGCCATTGGTGGTAGCAACAATGGAGTGTAGAGTCAGGGTACCAATATCTTCATCACCTTAAGTAAACCTTCTCTGAACAGATCAGTACTATACTGTGATGAAAATGCTAGTGACCCTCTGTGCTGAGTTCACATTAGTGTTTCTAGTAGTGGGAGACAGGTTGGAATGGGGAGGAAGAAATTTAAAAAATGAATGAACAAACAGAGCCCGTTTAAGTATATCATAAGATAGCAGTAAATGGCATAAATGTGCTGTGCTTAACATTTCACTTTAGATGAATTGCTGGAATGGATTTCTTCTTCAGTGATACCTGCTCTGTGTTACACTCTGGCTGCACTTCAAGAATCTAGTGACTGTTTTAAAAGAACCATTCTTTTCAAGTTATAGTAGTGAATTTCTGTATTGTTTTATAATGCTCAGAGTATTCGAAGAAAAAAACTTTATTGTTAGGTCACTTGTTTATGCTCTCAAAAGGTTGTCGTCATAATGCTGTGGAGTACTGATTAAGGTCATGATGCTGGAATATTGGCAGTTTTATGTGAAATTATGCATAATGGGAGAGGAAGTGTGGTCTAGTAAAATGGAGTGTGAGCCAAAAACATCCAAGTTCTAAATTTAGCTCCTTAGGTGCTAGAAATAGGGATAATTGTGGGGCTGCTACAACTCCTGGCTTAAAGTGGTTTCCCTTATGCACAAGGTTTACAATTTGGTTCTATGGCTTTCAATGTCCCCACTATAAAATTGTCCTACCACCACTGCACAGGTCTAGCTTGACATTGATCATTTATTTAATCATCACAAAAATCAACAACATAAATGTATTTTAATAAAAGTAGGATTCAGTGTAAAAATACAGTATGTTCAAGCCTGAAGTTTTGATGTTCATTTACAATCAAAGGAATGTTGGGAAATTGATGTTTGGAATATTTGATTTAGGACTTTATCTGTTTCCAGATGATAGCAAATCGTGTTTTTATTTTATTTCTTTTTTTTTCTTTTTGCAGTATCCATGGCAAGTATTGGAGAAAAAGGTAAGATATATATGTTAAACAGTATTGCCATGTAATGAAGCTGAGCAACACAGAAGAAAAATAAGCAGGCCTTCTGATCAGATCTGTTTCTGATTTATTGCGTAATCACACATAAAACATTTAACTGGATATATGATTCGGACTTACAAATGGCTAATCAGTTGTTTTTAGGATCCCTCTTTTGTCTGTGATAAGCAAGGTTTTAAAAAATGAGATTTCTGTTTTTTGGAGGTTTTTTAGTTTCTCAAATGTGTAGTGTTTAAAAAGTTAATTTTAATTTTGCTTAGACTTTTTGTTGGTACTAGGTCTGCAGAATAGAAGAGCTCTGTCTTCCTTTCTTACATGTTCTGTTTCTTCTGAAATAAAATACTTTAAATATATAAATTTTAGCAGAAATAAAAATATTTCTGGATACAGGCGTCAGCAGTGAAAACTTTTACGTTACTCACTTGACTAGAAAAAATCTACTTCTTTGAAATGATGTTCGTTAATTCTTTACGCCTATTATATACAAATATATTAGAAGCAAGAGGAAGACCAAGGACAGGGTAGGCCCATTGCTCAATGAAGAGTGAGAAACAATAACAGGAAACTTGAAAATGTCAGAGGTGCTTAATGACTTCTTTGTTTGGTTTTCACCAAGAAGTTTGATGGTGATGGGATGCTTAACATAGTGAATGCTAGTGGAAATGGGGTAGGTTTAGAAATTAAAAAAAAGAACAAGTTAAAAATTACTTAGAAAAGTTAGACGTCTGCAAGTCACCAGGGCCTGATGAAATGCATCCTAGAATACTCTAGGAGCTGATAGAGGTGGTGAGGTGTCTGAGCCATTAGCTATCTTCCATTCTGAATCAAAACAAATGCCCAGTAACAGCAATATTCACAAAATAAAACCATTTTAAAAAATGGATTGGAAAATAAATTATTTTTTATCAAAAACTAGACAATTCAAATTGTCAAAAAAATTGTAATTTCAAATTAAAAATTGTTTTTAAATATCTACTCCAAACAGTTGTTTTAATTCTTCTTTAATTCTTTTATCCTGAAAAATTGTGTCAATCAGCATTTTCCTGCAAAAAATGTTGATTTCAATGAAACCATGTGTCTGGCAGGAAAACGCGTTGGTTGAACCTTTTCAATCAACTCTATTGTTAATGTTGTTTGCCTAGTACTACCTTAGTCTGGATTAGATCTAAATCTCTTCTCACATACACAGCAGTAGGACATACTTTCTTCAGAGTTTTCAGAAAAAGACTGAGAACACACACACATTTTAAATGTTGGCAAGAGAATTTATATGCTGTTTGTGTAGAGTAGTACCACACTTTTAAGAACTTTTTGTATGGAAACGCGTTAGCTTCTTCATATAGGATAAAAGTTGATTTATATTTTAAGTCCTATTTTAGCCTTATCCCCACTTGTAAAATCCTCAAAATGGTAAGTTTGTCTTCAAATTTAGCATCTATAGTGTATGGCTAGAGGAAGTAGATTTTTTTCTAGTTAAGTGAATAACGTAAAAGTTTTCACTGCTGATGCCTGTATCCAGAAATATTTTTTATTTCTGCTAAAATGTATATATTTAAAGTATTTTATTTCAAAAGAAACAGCACATGTAAGAAATTTTTGCTCAAATTTGAGGTAATTCAGACACTCTTTTCTAGGGGATATTAATCATATCTTTAAAATTTTTGTTAATGATGCTTTTAGCCATATCTGATGCTTTTATCTACTGAGAGAGACTGGCATCAATGGATTCTCCATCTCCCATTTTCTGCTCTTGGCTTCATTAGCAATAACTGTTCCATTCCAGGATAATCTGTTTTTACTTCTTGACCAACAGCTTTGTTCTCTCTCATTCCTATCTGGGGAAAGAAAGTTTATAGGGGAAGAGTGGGCTGATCTTCTGAAAGCTTCTGTAGATGTTGAAAACACTCCAAGAAATGAGCCTACATGTATCCCCATGCCACACAGGTGAGGGAAGAAAGTGTAGCTGCCCTGCACTTCCATGCCTCTGGACAGAAGACTTGCCTTCTCCCAGCAACAATGTACTCATTGGAATCTGCTCAGAGGCAGTTGGACATAAATATTTATGCAGTTCTCTGTGATAAACTCTTTAGCATCCTCATCTGAAGATTCATTGTGATAGTGTCTAAAGCAGCCTCATACTAGCAAACTTTCCAGTAGCCTTTATGGGGAAGGTTGGTGAAACAGAATCTTTATACTAGTGGTCCCCAGTGCGGTGCCTGCGGGCACCATGGCGCCCGCTGGGGCATTTATGTGCACCTGCCGAGTGACCAGGGCCGGCCCGAGCCATTCTTGCTCCCCGGGCGTGCGGTGCGTGCATGGCCCCTTTCCTGGGCGCGTGGTGCGTGCACGGCTCCGGGCACACAGCGCCCAGCAGCCACAATAGGTTGGGGACCACTGCTTTATATAGTCTTACCCTATGGGTAAACTGCACTGCTCTTTCAGCCAGAGATGCAAGGAGACCGTGACACAACTCCCTCCTCAGTCAGTCAGGAAGGTATGTGGTAGAATCTTCCCTTGTGGTTCCAGAAAATGAAGGGAGAAGAAATTTGTGCAGCTAAAGGGAAAAAAATGTAATACTGTGGACTCTATGGCATCTGTCCATGAAGTGTCATTACCAAATTACTTTGTCACTCTTTACAGGATTAGAGAACTGTCAGCTATTGTGTCCATATCAGTCAGTAGTGGAAAGGTGGCAGTTGCCAGCACCACTTTATTGGAATTCAGCACAGGAAGCTGAATTCCAACTCCAGTAACCCTCAGAGAACTCCTGGCCAGCCCACTTTGCTTGCAGTTTAGTATGTCTGCACAATAGCTAAACTCTTCATTCCCTGGCAACCCCTAACTCCCAATCAGGCTTCAGAAATTTCCAGTGATGTTTTGATCCCAGCGGTAATTCCCACACTCCATACCTATAAGCATTGAATCTGGTATGACAGTGGAATAAAACTTTCACTCTGTACTGGTTTTTTCCTCCTACAACAAGATGAAACTGAGATCTTTCCCAGTATTGTATTAAAGGTAAAATGTCCAAAGAACAACATACATAAGTTAAGATATGGTATAGAGGAAGTTATATAATCAATATTTACTTTCTCTCACCCATGTTTTGTACCATCATCAAGCTGTTTATTTTCAAAACAGCAAATATTGATCTTGAGGCAGTGTGTATTGTAGAGTAAATACAAATTGTTCTGACATGATTAAATCTGCATTGGTCACTTTATTTGATAGATGTTGATGTAATAAGGTGATATTTGCCTGCTATTGACCTGTTGTATTCTGATTGATCTGAAGAATAGACTTATTGTTTGCCTAAGCAAACAGGGTACATCTAGACTGCACGGCTATTTTGGGATACTGGAGGTATCCCGAAATAGCTATTCTGCATCTCCACAAACCGCCTGTTATTTTGAAATATTTTTCGAAATAATGGCATGGTATTTCACCATCCCGGTAAACATTGCACGAGAGATAAGGGATGGCTTCAGTTAGCACATCATTTTAAAATCTGGTGCTGTATAGACGCCCTAAATTTCAAAATAGCCTATTTCAGAATAGATTCAAGGTAAGATGCATAATTCGAGATAAGATATGCAGTTTATGGTGCTGTGTAGACGCACCCTCAGAGACCAATTTGTCCTGTTTAGCAAAGTCCATGCAATATGGTTTGATTCATGTTTTTGTTTTTACAGAGAAGTTAATTTATAACTGGCATGTAAAGCGAGAATACATTTAAAAGCATTTCTTCTTGTCTTTACATTAAGAAAAATTCGGTGCCAGCTACATTACCTCAGTAGTGTTTTTGATATTTTAAACTCACAAAAGTGATGGCATTCAGATGGAGAGGAGATTCTGCTACAATTCCCCCTGCCGGGGGGAGGGAAGAAAAGTCCCCCAAAGGGAGCAGAAATTAGGCTTGAGGATGGGCAGAACTGATGATTAGGGCAGGAAAGAAATCTGTGTCCCCCTCATTGGCCAATTATGTGGGGTGAGAGATCCTTCAACAGGAGCCAAAATCACCTTATCCAGTAAATTTGGGAGTGGATACCAGTAATTGTCACTTAAATACACACGGGATGTAGGGGAGAGTTCAAAAAATAATTAGAAGCTGGACAAAAGGCCCAATATAGGTTTTTCTCTAAATGTCTTCCAGACTCCATGCTGTGCTGCTGCTTTGAAATGCCGCGTGGAGCCCGGGGTCAGCTAGGGACTCCCCACCTGACCCTGGGCTCCACGTGGAATTTCCCCAGAACCTGGGATCAGCTGGGGAGTCCCTAGCTAACCCTGGGCTGCACACAAATGCTGCTGCGGCGTTTCAAAGGTGCAGCACCACACAGCTGAGCCCTGGATCAGCTGTGTGGTGCTGCCACTTGAAGTTCTCCCTTGTTGCCCCCCCTTTGCTGTCTCTATGTGATAGAGGCAGCACGGGGGAGAGAAAATCGACTACTCCTTAACATCCCTAGACTGGATTGTCTAATCTGTAGCTGCAAAGAGTGCCATGCAGTGGAAATGATCCGCTTTCACTCTGTAAGGGTGGGGGAGATTCTGCGTAAGGGGTGTACACATACGTGCAGGCATTCCATGTGGTTTAGAGTGCATCTGCTACAGCCAGAGAAGAGTGTTCTGTGCAGATCCTCTCTTCAGTTCACCAAATAGGATGTGTCTAAGTGCCTCGTGTGGCATCTGTACAGAATGCTGTGGCCTGGAGGAATGAGATGGATTATTTTTCCTGGGGTGGATGCTGGAGTTTGGCTTTGTCTTTGTTGTAGTGAATTATCCTATAAGTTAATATGAGAGAGATCAGGGACACTGAGTGATTACTGGACGTACAGTAAGTGGTGCTAATAAAATTTCATCATCCATTTAAGAGAGATTTGCTGGCATCATTCTCAATGTAAAAATGGAGAATGTGACAAAACACCACAACATAGAAAATCTTGATTGTACTGCTAAGTGTTACAAGAACACATCACAATGGATCCGAAGAATAAACATTTTGACAATTTAAAAATCTGCATTTGGACTGTGTAACAGCAAAATTACAATGAACAGACAAGTAGTACACATTAAGGCTAATGTTCAAATCCAGGTGTATCCATTATTCAGTATCTGAAAGATTCTCGGAGTGTCTGTTGCATGAAGTGTAGGTTGTTTCATTCCCTTTCTTGCACAGATAACCACGTCACACATAGCACATAATACTAAAAGGAAAGGAAGGGTCAGTTAAACTTAGCAAATGCATTTAAGAAAATACTGGAAATACTTTTTTCCCTTTTACTAATTAGGATTTTACCACCTTAATTCATTTTAATATTTATAATTAATATTTTTAGAACAGTAAATTTGTGTTTCATTTAAAGTTTCAGTGCCGCATCTTGTTTACCAATATAATTGCATTGTAATAAACGGATACATTAGCATTCTTTAAGGTACTTGTACACCTGGCAAGCATGGAGGGGTAGCAGGCCAAATCCAAATGATTGGCATTGCAGCCCTGTGTGCCAGGGCAGTGGCCATTGGGATTTGGCCTAGCTGCTAATAGGGGCAGCCTGGCCAAATCTGAGTAGCATTGCAGCATGGTACATCGGGTCATGATACCACTCCAGTTTGCATCAACTATATAAAGTTGTAGTGTGTCTTAAAGTGGCAATTTCTGCAACAAATCCATGGTATGTGATTTTCTTACAACCTTAGGGATACTGATAGTTTACATATATAATGTAATTAATATGCTGCTGTTCTCAGCCATATATACATGTTAATTACATCCCTCTTTAATTTTAGCTGTGTGCCTCATTGCCTATCACCTATTTTTCATGCTGTTTGTCTGGTCTTACTGGAAAACAATCTTTACATTACCAATGAATCCTTCAAAAGAAGTAAGTTGAAATTTGGAACAAATTATATTTATGTTCATTTCTGATGCATGCAGCATTTGTGTGATTTTAATTGGTCAAATGACATTTGCGGGGTGGGATAACTTACACTTTACACGTTTTTATATACCTGAAGGTCACCAGTAATGTGGCTCTGGTTGGTAGTGATAAATGATTGTTACCATCATATTGGTGATTTGATACATTTAATTTCTTTTACATAATATAACAAACACTTACGTGCTAACATAGGAAAATGAAATAAACATGGTTTAGTTAGGCACAGGTCCATTCTTTGGGAGCAGTGCACATATATTTGGAAAAATTATATATTTATTTGAGATGGAGTGTTTTCAGGTTTTCCCCGTGGTTCAGTTGTCCTCTTGTCAGTTATATTTTGAGAAACCACTTTTGTCTACCATTTAAAAAGTACTGTTTTCTGAGTATATGCAATCAAGTCCTCATGCTTTGATTACAAGTCACTCTTACCCCTTCGTGCAAAGTGGAAGAGCTCTTACTGGCTCAGCCAGAGAGAGGCTCGCTTGTGGGCACCTTGCAGAATAGCTGCTTATAGACTCTGAGGATCCCAATTAGTTTTTGTCTAGTTACAATGTTCATACTATAAATCCAGCTACATTTGACTTAGCTAATCAGTTACATCTAAATTCTAATGTTCGGTTATAATACTACAGTGGGATCGTATTAGAGGGATTCACTTGTCTGAATTCATCCTAATATAGTCCTGAGAAGAATAAATATTGCTTCTTAAATCAGGTTTACTCTTCAGGTATCTAGAGAGTAAATCTTTAGTTGGAATAAAAGTCCATAAACATGTATTATTCTGGGCATTGCTAATTAAAATTACATTATTTTCCAGTTCCATCTGTCATATGCAGACAAAGAACTGCTGGAAAGGGAGCCTAGAGGAGAAGCCCAGCAAGAAATTTTCAGGCGAGCAGCCAAAGACCTTCCTATCTATACGAGAACAATGTCTGGAGGTAAATGCTTTTTGTTTCAGTGGGCAACGAGACAAGCGTTTTGGTACATTTCACTTTCAGTAGAAACTGAGGGGTTTTTTTAGGCAGTGCTTTTAATTGTCTTTCAAAGCTTAAAAGAATAAACTGACCAAAAGAGTGATGTTCTATTTTTATTTAGTAGAAATGTAGTATGTTTACATACTGCAAATGCAGATGCTATGTAATAATGAGTATTTGTAGTAATAGAATTGACGAGACACTAAAAACACAAATATTTAAATATCAGCCAATGTTAATATGATTTTTCTATTTTGCTTTATCCACACCCAAAATTTGTAAATTAAGCTTGACTGAATATGACTCACTAACATATTACAATACTAATTAATATTAAGACTGGTTTCAAAAGTGACACTGGTTTACCTGTAGTTATGTGATAAATTGCAATATTAACAAACATTATAAGATGAAATATATATATTTAATGTTCCATAATTTGACTTTTTAATTCCTGAAAAAGGTAACTTAATATCAGATTATGTCTATGGCCAGGGCTCTTCCGGGTTGCAATTTACTCGCCACGGGCGAGTAGATTGTATTATTTGTTGAGCCCTGTCTATGGCACCTATGCATGTCAGCTATAGTGATAATTTGTTGGGATATTTTTCATGTGTATTAAAAATTCAAAATTAACTTAATTAGTAGCTCTTAAACAGTCTTTATGAGGTGCTGACCACATGTAACTCCCACTAAATTCAAACTGAATCACTTTATTGAGCATTTCAGAGAATTCAGGTTCCAACAATAAATATATATTTTGAGTGGGTCTAGAGATGTTAAAATGTACATAAATTTATATTAGATCTAATGTTACATGGATTTTTTTTCCACAGCAATCAGATACTGTGACAGATGCCAACTTGTAAAACCAGACCGCTGCCATCACTGTTCTGTGTGTGACAAGTAAGAACAATTTTTAATGACACACGTGTTCAATCTTGTTAATGCAGAAGATATTAATTATAAAAATGCCCCTGCTGAATGGTAAAGAACCAAGCAATACATTTTTGCTACTTTCTTATTTATTACAAAAGAAATTATGTGGTGTTTTGTTACCAGATACTCTGATTGGTATTTCTAAAGGTTTGCTTCTGCTTTTAATTTTCCTTGGAAATATCAAGAATGTTTACTTTTCCTTTTTTAATTTTTATTGGACAGTTTCTTGGGTGAGTTCAAGGAGGTTTAATTTAAATCAGTAATTTTAAACTATCAATTTTAATCATGACCTAAATCAACAAGCAGGAAACTTTGATTTAACTAATTAATTTTACTCTTACCTTACATTTGTACTTTTTAGTAACTTTTCTAGAGAGAAGTGCTTTTCTCATTGGCAACCATTAAAACATGTTCATGTTTAATCTACATGTATTCAGAACTTTTATTTTTGATAGTCAGAAAATAGTGAATGAGCTATTTCTTGTTTGTTTGTTTGTTTGTTTAATAAATAAAAGTACCCTAAATGTGTTGGTTACATAAAAAAATCAGTTTTACCATACCATGTTTTGTATTTCAAAATGATTTATTAAAAGTAGTATTGTCTATAGTTAGTGGACAGAATTAATTTATTCAATTTATGATGCCCTTCAGGATTTTAGAACTAGATTTCATTCTCTCCGACCTTGTTTTTATTCATGTGTTGTAAGAGACATGCTTTCCTAGCTCGCAGTGGGTTGTTCAACATTAAACTAGTCATTGACTGAACTAGTTGAACAAACTGAACTTAAACATCAGAGGGGTAGCTGTTTTCGTCTAAACATGATGGACGCAAATCAGATATCCGAGATGGTAATCCACAAAAACCTATACGAGCACATTTTAATGTATTTGGGCACTCCTTAATGGTTTTAAAAGTAGCCATTGTTCTACAAAGGAATTTCAAAAACCAACTACAGAGAGAAACTGTGGAACTGGCCTTCATATGTAGATTTGACAGTATCTCTCATGGCCTGAACAAAGACATGAACTGGATGGGCAATTATATTCAACACACAATTGACATCAAAAGCTGAGTATGGGACACTTCCAGCCTCATTAGCACCTGCCCTACAACTGACAGGTACTCTACCCACTCCCCTTCTTTTTTCTGTTTTATATTGTGAGGTTCTCCCTTTTTTCTCCATTCTGCTCATCTGAGGAAGTGGAATTTGTCCACAAAAGCTCATGGTGCTATATTATATTTTTGTCAGTTTCTGAGGTGCTATAGGACTACAGGCAGTCCCCAACTTACGTGGATCCGACTTATGTCAGATCCGCACTTACGAACGGGGCTTTTCTCGCCCCGGAGTTCACGGGCAGCGGGTCGCCACCCGTGTCCTCTGGGGCGAGAAAAGCTTCTCCCGGTCTCCCTGGTCTGTGGGGGGGGGTCCCGCAAAGCCGCTGGACCCCCCCAGCAGACCAGGGACACCCGAGCAAAGCCGCCGCCTGGGCAGCTTTGCTCGTTTCCCCGGGAACAAAGCTGCCCAGGCAGCGGGACCTCCGCCGCCTGGGCGGCTTTGCTCCTGTCCCCCTGGTCTGCTGGGGCGGGTCCAGCGGCTTTGCTGGACCCCCCCAGCAGACCAGGGGGACAGGAGCAAAGCCGCACAGGCGGCATCCCGCCGCCTGTGCGGCTTTGCTCGGGGGCAAAGGAGCAAAGCCACATGGGCGGCGGGGGCCCCCCCCCCGTGCCCCC